TGTCTTATAGATTATATTACGACTAAAAAGAAACCCAGGAGAATGTTATATTTACAAATTTTTTGTTTATAAATTCTTACAAATTACACTAAGTATGACTGGTCATACTTCATTCAAGAGTGGTCATACTTCATTCAAGAGTGTATGACCGGTTATACTTAGTGTAATTTGTAAACAAAAAATTATAAAGGTATCCTTTCCCAAAAATGTAATATAGCATAGGGTTTACTGGTTTCGGTTTTTGTCGTAGAAAAAATTTATTTTTCATACTTATGTCCCCCTTATCTTTTCTCTATTTTTTTTTACAATGAGATCTATTTATTTTTATGTGAGTGTAACAGAAAAAAAAAATTACAGTAAAAGTAAAAATATTTTTTCCTATAGCATAAATTTGTCCCCTTTTATATTTATTATTTTTCATATATGAAGAAAACTTGAAGAATTCTTTAAATCTAACTATTTACTATGGTGTTGTCCTGTCTAAATTAACTAGATTTTTCGCCCCTTTTCCCAAAATTTCTGATATCACTATTGTCTCCTCCTATGTAGCACCGATACGACACGCGACACGTGACACGACACGACACGACACTCCGACACGTCAATCTTAAAAAATTATGGATTTCGACACGTTGGGACACGTTTTAATATTAAATAATTTTTTTAATTTATATAGTGTATATTTCATTTAATATTTAATAATTTAACAAAAAATGAAACAAAATTAATAATACCCATTAATATGTTATAAAGATGGAAGCTTTAATAAAAAAATAAGAACTGGGATGAGATATATATATAATATCAGATAGAGAGATCAAATCATATTAGAGAGAAGAAGATACAACAAGAGCGTGATAGGAATTTACAACAATGATGCTGAGATGATCTCTTATCTACTTAAGGGGAAAAAAGACAAAAGATAAAATTGATATGATCAGGTGGAAGCTTTATTAATATATTTTAACTTTTTAAAAAAATAAATTTTTTTAAAAAAAATTAAAAAAAAAAAAAATTAAAAAAAAATTACGAAAATGCCATTTGACCGTGTCGGACACGGTCAAATTCGCGTGTCGGAATGGTCAACGTGTCGGAAAAAGTCAACCGCGTGTCCGACACCGTGTCGGAGCGTGTCGCCGTGTCGGAGCGTGTCGGACCCGACTCTTCCTGTTTTTACAAGTGTTCGTGCTTTCTTGGTCTCCTCAATGAGTTATTCTCATAGAATATGTTAGTATGGGCTTTATTAGTCTCCTTTCATATAAGATAGTTATCATATGTTGTAGAGAGAAAATAGATGTGTTCCACAATTACAAAAAAAGAAAAGAAAAAAGACGAAGTACGAAAATCAAAGTAAATGAGAGAAATTATTTTATATAAAAGACCACTAATATTTTCCTGCTAATATTCACATTTATTTATGCAAGTTATTTGAGCTTTTATCAATGTAAATTTGATATTGGTACATGATGGCTCCTTCTTGTACTTTGGTTTTGGTGGATAACGGGGTAGCAGAAACTCAAAATCTGATGCTTAGCTAAGTAAATATTTGCAAGAAGTGGAGTGTGTTTATTAGTGTTAGGCGGAGTAGGGAGACCTGCAGCGAAGGACCACCAATACTTAAATATTCCAACATATATTAACAAACATGCCTACAGAACATAAAAAATAGCATGAAAACCATGTGTATATATTACACAGCTGATAATGAGACTAGTTAAAAATTTTATAGTATGATTATAAAAGGATTAAATAAAGTTACTCACATCTTAAAAGGCATGTTGAATAAATTATTAAAAAAATTTACTCTATTCTATGTGTTTGGCTTTTGGCTAACAAGGTCACAGCTATTAAATGGAACTGTACGTAGTAATTCAATAAATTAAAAAAGAGATGGAGAGAGTGAGAAAGTATACCTTATTATTAACTACGAATCCAACAATGTAACATGAAAGGAACCTTAACCTTTAACTTTGCAGGTTATATCTCTCAACTCCCTTATATCCATTCTCGCTATGTTTTTAGATGCCTATCAATATTAAGTGGAGTTGTGACAACACAAAACTTCCGTTACAACCTGGTCCACTCTGTTCGATGTACCAGAGCTTCAGTATGATTATGATGTATTTACCCATTGGCCATTACATATAAAGAAAGAAGAAATATCTCTTCAAATGGTGCACTGTTTTGTTGCATCATGCATTACATCATTTTGTTTACACTTTTTATTAGCATGGCTTCCGAGAGAGGCAAAGTTTGCTCTATTAAATGAGGAGAAAAAATATCATATATCATCCAATATAGCATTTGTGACTCCTTTCATGGAGTCTAGCAATGGGTTGAGCGTAATCTTTGTTCAATCAAAATATAGCCTTACACGTAGCAATTAGTCAATTTTTGGCAACATTAATCCTGACAAATTAAGCACAAGAATATTTGTTTGCCAGGTTCCAAGACTCTGAAAAAGTTAAGGAATATGAGTGATGGATAATAGGATATATATTATATGAGAAATTTTTTTGTGATTTTAACGAATACAAGTTGTGTCATTTTAACTTTTAACTATGTATTAAGTATAGTATATAGTTATGGGGAGGGTTACGTTTAACTTTCTTTGTTTACAACTCTTACAACCTCAACTATGTTCTCCCAGGAGTACATTACTGAAGAGTGTACTCCCGGGAGAACATAATTGAGGTTGTAAGAGTTGTAAACAAAAAAAATTGTAAATGTAACCTGCCTCTATAGTTATAATATGAAATGTTACTTTTTTTCTCTCTCTCTCCTTAATCACTTCAGCTGACATGCAGAGAGGAAAAAAAAAACTATTTTTCATATTATAACTATGTATTACTCATAGTATAATAGCGTTAAAAATTAAAATGACATAACTTATTTCTTTTAAAATGACATACACTTAACTTAGATTATATATATAAATTTTGTTTTTTCATCAAAACTTTTAATTTATTTTTCATTACTTCAGGGTGTGAATAAGTTTTCTACAGAATAAAAAATAGTATGCTTAACAAAATTTTATTTTAAATACAGATACATTAATAGCTCACGTAGTTTTTTGTTTGTATGTATTCAAGATGAGACTCGAGAGTGACGTTAATTTTAAATAACTTTTTAAAAAAAATAATTACTATTTACAAGCGAATAATCAAAACAAAAATATGAATCAGAATATTTGACTAACTAATATATAAATAAGAATATTTACGTTTAATAACAAAAAACTTTTTATTGTAGTTCTTATACCATAAAATATAATTATTCCACTGACAATTTGAAAAATACGCTTAAAATTATATAAGAAATTAACACTAACCAATAAATATTGTGAGTATATATTTATAATGTTTAATAATATGTTGTAATATACATATAGATGAATATATGTTGAGAAGGAGCATATATAGAATTTTCTAAAATAATGACTTCAATTCAGCAATTAATAAAAAATAAAAAGAACATAAAATCATCTTGAACTTTGACCATTTTCTAAATTGATATAATCTCGAGACTATGATATTTATTCCGTCAATTAGTCCTTCCATCTAATTACCCTTAATTCACTAATGAACTTATGATGTGAAATTTTTTTAATTATATAATATCTACAGAGTTCATTAATTATTCATTAAAAACTTATTTCATATATATTTTAATCTTTAGAATATAAGTAAATTAAAAAAAATTAAAATTTATTATGTAAATTATATACAATATATAATAATTTAAATAATTGAATAATAAAATTATTATTTATTTTATTTATTTTTTATTTTTACTCGTTTATTCAAATTGATTAATATATATAATTAAAAAATATTGATTTGAATTTAATGATGTTTATATTAAAAAAAATTTGGGTAAGCTATATTAATATTATTTAATGGATAGTATAAATTGTAAATTCTATACATAACTAAACTTTTACTAATAATATATAAATGAAATATTACAAATTTTGATATTAGTTTTAATTTTTAATCTTAAATTCAAATAAACTAAAATTATTACATATAATAATTTATTATCATATTTAACTTATTTAAAATTTTATTAATTTATTTTCTAATTATTAAAATATATACTAAAATAAAGGTTGTGATTATATTAATTATAAATCTATTAGTGAACTAACGTTAACCAAACAGAATAATTAAATAGTAAAATAGTCGTAATTTAAGAATTAAATATTTTTTAAAATTTTATAACTTCAATTTATAAGAAGTCAAAATATAGAATAATTATACATTTTTTTTATACAAAAATTGCGCACAAGTACGAATGATTTTTGAAATTAAGGTTTAAGTGGAATAGTTAAATTTTAAATGTGCAAAACATGAGCAAAGAAGGAAGGAAGGTATAAAGAGAGGGGGGAGGCAAGCGTGTGGGGCAATGAATGTGACGTGACCAAGATTTGAAGGTGAATAAGAGAGGATTGGCCACGTGTATTGGGAGTGACACTCTTATTGAGGGAGCAACGCGGGGTTAGACGTGTGCAAAACAACAAATGGCTTCCCCACTTACCCTCAAACGCCACACACAATTAGGCAAAGCGGTGAAATCAATAAAAAATAAAAAAAATAAAAAAGCCCAACTCTTTTATTTCACCCCTCTCTCTATCCCATATTTCTTTCTCTCTTAAGTCTTACCCGCTAATGGGCCAATACATAACCATAATCAAAACACACACTTAGTTTTGCCGCTTCTATTTTTCCATGTTTTCTTGTCATCAATTGTCATGTGTGATTGCTCTCAATTTAAGGAACTTTCCCCTATATTATAATCCCCTATTTTCTACATTTATAATATTCACGAGGGGCACATATAATGAAAACATTATGGTATTCTGGAGAGAGAAAGCGAAAGATGTGGTCGTGGCATCGTATCATGTAACTATGTCCCGCATGCAACCCCACCTTGTATTCATCACTTATTGGCATTCCTACCTTTTACGAGTCCCCTTCCCCAATTTTCTTAATCCTACACGTGGTCTTCTCCTACATGTCCGAGTTGAGTTGAACCCTCCATTCCTTCACACCCCTCCTCCCTCTCTCCCACTATATATATAACACTTCTCAACTCTCTCTCATTCACTCCTAAGCCTCTCCTCAAATTTTTCAAACTCTCACAATCCCAAAAAAGATACCAACAACAACACTCTCGAAAACCAACCAATTTCAATTTTCTTTGTACAAAAAACACACTACTATAGACTACAAGTGCCACTCTTCCAAAAACAACCATGGCAGCATCAAACACATGGATTAACACAAAACTCCCATCATCATGCTCTTCTTCTTCCCCCTTCAAAGAATTGGGCTCTAGCTCAACAAATCCAACAACCTCAATTACCTTGAAGAAGAGGTCCAACACAAATTCCAACACCATCTCATGTTCCCTCCAAACACTCCACTTCCCTAAACACTACCAACAACCTCAATCCACAAACACAAAAACTGCCACCACCACCCCAACAAAGGAAAACAAGTCTCCACCATCCTCTGACACAACCAAACAACAACAAGTCACACCCCAAAGGTGGAACCTTTTGCAAAAAGCTGCATCCATGGCATTAGACATAGCCGAAAAAGCCTTAGTCTCACACGAGCGCCAACACCCACTTCCCAAAACCGCCGACCCAAAATTCCAAATTGCCGGAAACTTCGCTCCGGTGCCGGAGCACCCCGTCCAGCACTCACTCCCGGTCGCCGGAAAAATCCCAAAATGCATTGAAGGCGTCTACGTAAGGAACGGCGCCAACCCCTTATACGAGCCCGCCGCCGGCCACCACTTCTTCGACGGCGACGGCATGGTCCACGCCATCCGGTTCAAGGACGGTTCAGTCAGCTACGCTAGCCGGTTCACTGAAACTGAGCGTCTGGTTCAAGAAAAAGCACTTGGAAAACCGGTTTTCCCAAAAGCCATAGGTGAACTCCATGGCCACTCTGGCATAGCTCGATTGCTCTTGTTCTACGCTCGTGGACTCTTTGGTCTTGTTGATGGAAGCCATGGAATGGGTGTTGCAAACGCTGGTCTTGTTTACTTCAACAACCACCTCTTGGCTATGTCAGAAGATGATTTACCTTACCATGTTCGTGTAACTCCAAATGGTGACTTGAAAACCGTTGGTCGTTACAATTTCAACGGCCAACTCAAGAGTACAATGATTGCACATCCAAAGGTTGATCCTGTTAATGGTGATATGTATGCTCTTAGCTACGATGTTGTTCAGAAGCCTTATCTTAAGTACTTCAAGTTCAACAGTGATGGTGTTAAGTCCCCTGATGTTGAGATTCCTCTTTCCGAACCAACCATGATGCATGATTTTGCTATTACTGAGAGGTTCGTGGTTGTCCCTGATCAGCAAGTGGTGTTCAAGTTGAGTGAGATGATTCGTGGTGGTTCACCCGTTGTGTATGATAAGGAGAAGGTTTCAAGGTTTGGGGTTTTGGATAAGAATGCAAGTGATGCTTCTGGTATGAGGTGGATTGAAGCACCTGAGTGCTTTTGTTTCCATCTTTGGAATGCTTGGGAGGAGCCTGAGAATGATGAGATTGTGGTGATTGGGTCTTGCATGACCCCTGCTGACTCCATTTTCAATGAATGTGATGAGAGTTTGAAGAGTGTGTTATCTGAGATAAGGTTGAACTTGAAGACTGGCAAGTCAACAAGAAGACCAATCATTAATGGTGATTCTGATCAGCAGGTTAACTTGGAGGCTGGGATGGTGAATAGGAACAAATTGGGAAGGAAGACTCAGTTTGCTTATCTTGCACTTGCTGAGCCATGGCCTAAAGTTTCAGGCTTTGCAAAAGTGGACTTGTTCAGTGGGGAAGTGAAGAAGTACTTGTATGGAGAACAAAGGTTTGGTGGGGAGCCTCTGTTTCTTCCAAGGGATCCTAATTCTGAGAGAGAAGATGATGGTTATATTCTTACATTTGTGCATGATGAGAAGGAATGGAAATCTGAGCTGCAAATTGTGAATGCAATGAATTTGAAATTGGAGGCTTCTATTAAGCTTCCATCAAGGGTTCCTTATGGTTTCCATGGAACATTCATACATTCAAAGGATTTGAGGAAGCAAGCCTAATTGATTGGAATATTGACCTCAGATATTGGTCTTTCAATTGGCGTGTGCATTGGTTTGTGAGGAGGGATTTAACTGAGGGATGCTTGCAGATATGTCCCCGGAATCTCCTCCTCTGTTCTTTACAGCAGCAGATGTTTTTTTTCTGCTTTCTTTTTCATGATCTTTTTTTAATTTGGGGTTACTTCTTTTCTTTTTGTTAAGTGAGAGGTTTTGGGGGACCAGCTTGTAGCTTTTGGGTGTAGTTAGCAATGAAGCTCAGCTGGTCTCTGCTTATTCTTTCACTTGATGTGCATGTAAGTATAAAAATAATCACAACATAGAATGTGATATAATATATGTCTTTTACCATCTTCCATCCCTGTAAAATTCTGTTCACCTCAGTTTTCTATTGTGAATATCAGAAATAGTACTTATTTCACTATTCCTATTAAGTGTCCAAATAGTTTTTTATTTTTTTATTTTTTGGTTTCACTTTCTAATGAATCATAAGATTCTGTAAGAGAACAAAAAATAAAAATAAAAAAGGGTTACAGCAGAATTCACTGACTAGGTACCTTTTTGCTTGATGTAGCTTGTACTAAAGGAAAAAAAAAATACAGTTAAATACTTTTGAAAATGTATTTATTTTGTGCAGGTACTCAATACTATGTCTTCCAATGAAATTCTTAATAAAAACTAAAATTTTAATCATTTGAGTGGTACCTGTATTAAGCTGATATGTTAAATCACATTAAAGCTAGCATATTTATTCGAGTATTAATACGTCTTCATCAGTTTAAGATTTGAAGATATTACAAAAGATGGTGGTAGCACTATGGGAGATTGGCTCCTAGCACATGTTAAAATCACGAGTACCCAATCACAACCTTGCATTTGGGCAAGAGCAACCGCAATAAGTTGAAACGTTTGAGTAAGATACACATGGCAATAAATAACTGTCAAATCGCAACCAGAATATGATCATCAAGATAACAAGTCAACTTTGCAAGTGTTGTAGCAATTTGGAAGTTCCAAGCCAGATTTTTTAACTAGAAGATGAAGCTTTGATATTTATATAGCTTTATTAAGAAGTCAAGGAAAAATTGTGGTGGTTTTATTGGCAGATTGTGGAGAGAAAAAAAAGAAAAAAAAAATTGACACATCACACAACTATAGAACACAGATATCTGACATATACACGATGCTTTATTCATTAGGCTCAATTATTGAGGAGGATGCTCTTCCATGTCAACGTGCCAAGGTGCTTGGAGGGTCCAACCAAGGAAAAAATTTCATCTTAAATTGTAACTTTTCATCATGTCAAGCAACTTGTAACATGAAAGTCTCTCTAATTAGCATTATACCGATTATGGGCAATTCTGTTAGTTGTGTTTGTAGCAATGTGATTCGGTATGTAAGGCATGTCTTTCATTGTTTGTTCAGTGGTTTTTGCAATTTGCACTTGGGTTTCCTTCACTCATAGTGCATGTGCAAGCTGTGATGGTCTCTTTTTGTTTTTATCTTGAGAAAGAAAGTCCATTGTGCTTTGCACAGTGATGATGTTAAAAGCCAATTTGAGCTTTGAGTCAGAGTACTCTCTCATGGCTTCAACGTCATAATGCCCACTGTCCATGAGGGACTTAAAGAGTAGTGGAACATACGATTGCTATATTCAAATTAAAACATAACCTTTTTCTTTTCTACATATGATTTCTATTTACAAAACATAGAAATGTTATGTGCATTCTTTTAGTGAAGGTCCTTTAATATGTAGACTTATAAGTGTTTTGATTACATAATTGGACCTATGACAATTAGGAAAATTATATGTACCCTTCTTTTCAAGACACAATTCTAGGAAAATTGTATGAATCTCAATCTAATCACCTAACTAACCAAAGAGAAAAGAAAACAAAAAAGAGGAGTGAAGGGCGTAGCCAATTAAATGAAGCGAAAACGTGCTTTATGGTTTATTGTTATTGATGAATCTTTGGTTATGGGTCCATAAAATGGGATATGTCGGTGAAAGGAAAGTATATCAGTGCTAAAGTTGATTCATTCTATTTCCAGTTCAACACATGGCAACCCCCAATTTGTGTATGTGGAATGTAGTTTTCCGTCACATTTCTGTTTTTTCCAATGCAAGATATTTTTTTTTTCAATCATTCATTCAACGGTGGAGCCAGAGAATGTTTAGAGGGACGATTGTCCCTTCCCCTAAATTCGTGTAAATATTTGCCTTACCTTATTTAAATTTAAGAAAATAATAATTTAGTATAAGTTTGCTGATTTGTACCACAACCCTGAAACTTAGCCTTCGAGATTTTGTCTTTATTTTTTTCAATGTATAAAGAAAATTTGGAATTTTTCAAATTTGATTACATATAAATCCATTCGTACAATTTTCTATCTCCTTTATTGCATTATTGATTACTTTACTAATTCCATAGAGCAAATCTTTCATTCTATTAATATATTTTGGGTTTAATATTTTTGTTTCTATTGTAGAAAAAAAAAAATCTATCGTCACAAACAAATTCTAACTAATATATACATAAGTAAACTAGTTTATACCATAGTCGTATTAATGTCATTGTCATTGACCTACTTTATACCCTAACTGCCACCAAGTAATTTGGCAGGAAGAATATACTTTAAAAAAATAACGTTATATTGAAAATTTAATGACTAAAATTATTTTAAAATATGGAAAAAGCACTTCTCCTTTCATAGGATAAGAAGGCTAATAAGACGTCAAAATTCAAGCTATGCTTCTTCTTTTTCTTTTAAAATGTGGAGCCTGTTTAATTTTTTATCTGTAGGAAATTGACTTCTCCTCTTGTGGCATAAGAAGTTGTTTGCTCTTAAAATATATGTATGTGTATATGTATATTACAAATTATGAAATTATTAAAGTTTATTCTGCTAATTTTTCATTAATAGTTATAATTTGATTTTATTTTTATTTTTTTAAATATACCTTCCATTTTAGAGAAGCGAAATCCATTTAGAGAAGGTAGGAAAGTGATTGATTGCAGCACGTGCACAACAATCTTTTAATCTTTCCCTCAATTTCTAGTTTGCGGTTTTAATTATCAATTGTACGTTGGAATGAAAATAGTGGTGCATGATGACTGATGAGGCAATGGCTTACGACAACGTTAGCGATATTCAAATAAAAAGAAACCAATTGATAACCATTTTATGTGCAAAATCTGAGAATCTTGACGCCCTTTTTTTCGTTGTCTATTAATTGCTTGCTTATTCATAACGTGTTACAATGGGTTACTCTTAAGTCTTAAGTGTGTGTTGAAGCTTAAGAAAAGTTATTTATCACGGTAAAAAAAATTGTCTAAATTAGGTAACTTTTATTCATACAAATATAAATTGTTCGATCCAATAGGATTATAATTAATATGAAATTTGTGAACTACAAGTGTTTATGGAAGAGACAGTCGCAAGTGGTGATAAATTATAAATAAACAAGAAGGCAAAAAAGATGGCATATGTGCTTTGTGACACAATAAAACCAGAACATAAAAAAATTATTTTTTTCACCAAAACAAATGTGCGTAGGATAAGGGCAGTGCCCATTAAGAGTTCAGAAATGATGTGTTACATAGTCTTTAGAAAAAAATGCCAAGTAAATGAATGGCTAGTGATAGAAATGAATTAGAAAAAACTCCAACTTCACAATTTCAATTCGACAAGTAATTACCGCATTTCGTTGTCTTACAAGTTAAGCATCCAACTTTAAACTCATCAAAAGAGTTTTAAAATGAATAGTTTATACATATACTTCTAGTTACACTATTTCCGACAGTAAAAATGATGACAGGTTGTAGAAACGTTCAAGTTTCAAACTTCCAATTTGGTGAGTAACCATTTTGTAATATTAGTATAACTTGGAATCCTCTGTCTCAGGCACTTTGACCATATTGCCACTTCTTTAATAAAAATTTACTTGATTATCACATTTGAAAAAAAAATTGTCAAAATGTCACGTCACAATCTTGTTGGTCTGATAAGCAGAAATGGACTGAACACATGTCAGCGTCTGAATGGTCTACCATTCTCGCTGGACTGCCCAGCTAGAATGACAGAATGCTAACACGTGACAAAAGTACAGACACCCAGAGAATGCTTGTACTTTTGCCACGTGTCAGTATTCTGTCATTCTAGTTGGGCAGTCCAGCGAAAATGGTTGACCATTCAGATGCTGACACGTGTTCAGTCCATTCCCGCTTGTCAGACCAGCAAGATTGTGACGTGACATTTTGACAAAAAAAAAATTTCAGACGTGACAATTAAGTAAATTTTTACCTAAAAGGTGACAATATGGTCATTATCCTCTCATCGTACTTACATTAACTTCTTTTTTTATTTGATTTTTCTAACATTCTGGTCAACAAATCCCATCTTTATATACTTTTAATGTCATCTACCCAACATGTGGAAAAACCTTTTCTTATTTTCCTAAATTGAGAATCTACGTTAGACAAAGTTCTCAAAGTTCTCTTCTTGCAACATCCCACTCTAACACGGTACCACAAATTCACGGAAATTTCTACAATATTCTGGTCCCACTCATTTTGTTGAAGAATTTAAGTGTGAATAATTAAGTTAAAAAGTCTCACATTAATTAAGAATAGACTAAGTGAGAAAAAATTCATACCTTTAATGCCTTAAAGTTTTAGATTTGATTATAATATTCTGAGCTCAGTTAATGTTGCTTCTCACTTGACTTATGATTGACGGTCTCTCTCCCCGTCATGAGCTCTCCCTGGACGGCCCAACAATTAATAATCATGTAAATAGAACGACCCATACACCTAATGTCTTAAGATTTTGAATTTATATTGCTGTTTACTTGGCCTATGGTTAGTGGTCTCTCCCCACCATGAACTCTCTCTACACGGCCCAACACACTTTTTTATACATCTCTCCAATTATAACCAAAGACAATGCTCATACAATAATATGTAAGTGAGAAAAATGTTGTGTTAAATACAATATTTGATTGTGAGTAACAATAATACATACAACAGTAATATAGAAAATGCACTCCAAATTCACAATCTGAATTAATTAAATATATGAAGTAAAAATAAATGAATAAACAAACAAATGGGAACCAACTTGCAACACATTCCAATTGAATCAGAGATTGCAACACAATTTCCAATATGTTCCTCAACCCACTCAAGCTACTTGTATTCCTTTACCAATACTATCTTGTGACACACACATAAAGAACTTTCTGGCTGTGCGTTCATCAACAGCTTCATCGAATTCCTCAGAGTTCGATTTGGCCACATAATAAGTGGCAGATAACAAACATCTATTGGAAAATTATACATTACAGT